CCATGATGACGGCGGCGCCGACGCCGTCGACGACGACCTCGGAATCCTCCGCGTCGCGGAATCGGAAGATCCACGATCCAATGTCTGATCGCGGCAGCGCTGTGAGTCGCAGCGCCTGCGAAGGCCTGGAAACGAGCACAAGGGACGGACTGGCTGCCGCGACGAAGCCGGTGGTGGGAGCGAAATCGAGCGAGGGCGGCGGCGACGACGTCGTCTGGCGCCCCTGCGCCAGCCTCCAGCGTGCTGGGGCTTCGTCGCGGGCGCGGGGATGAGACGGTCGCGGTCGCGAGGGCCCCAGGGACTGGGCGCCTTCGTCTCTTAGTCTTCGCGGGGCGGGGGCTCACACGGAGGCCTCTGGGACCCCCCCCCTGGGGGACCGAACGTGTCTGCATCCGTCGCCTTCCGAGGCTCTGGAAGCTCGGTGCACACCCCAGCCTCGGGGCTTGGCTACACGCAAGGGTGACGCTGGGCCAGAGCGACCCTTGGTGCGCGACCTGACAGGGGACGCGGGGGGCCCAAACCCGGGCACGCAAGCCGCTGCGACCGCTTCGCGATCAGCACTCGGGAGACCCTATTGGGCCCTCCCTCCTGGTCGTCCTCCTCGTCCTCCTGGTCGTCCTCCTGGTCGTCCTCCTGGTCGTCCTCCTCGTCCTCCTCGTCCTCCTCGTCGTCGTCGTCGTCCTCCTCCTCCTCCTCCTCCTCCTCCTCCTCCTACTACTACTACTCCTCCTCCAGCCACTCCAGCGAAAAGCCACTCTCACGTGCAGTCCAGGGGTCTTAACGCGCCTGGGGCGCGGCCTCCGTCCAGGAGGAGGAGGATGAGGAGGAGGAGGAGGAGGAGGAGGAGGAGGAGGAGGAGGGGGGGGATGGAGGATGCAGGGAGGAGGAGGAGGAGGAGGAGGAGGGAGGAGGAGGAGGAGGAGGAGGAGAGGAGGAGGAGGAGGAGGAGAAGGAGGGGAGGAGGAGGAGGAGGAGGAGGAGAGGAGAAAGAGGAGGAGGAGGAGGAGGAGGAGGAAGAGGCGGAGGGAGGAGGGAGGAGGAGGAGGAGGAGGCGGGAGGAGGAGGAGGAGGAGAAGGAGGAGGAGGAGGAGGAGGAGGAGAGGAGGAGGAGGAGCGAGGAAGAGGAGGAGGAGGAGGGTCTTCGCTGTCGCCACGTGCCCCGGGCGCGGCCTCCGCCCTGGCGCGCTCCTCGGCCTCCTTGGCCTCCTTCTCGGCCCGCAGCTTCGCGGCCCGTTCGGCGGCCTTCTGCCGCGCCGCGTCCGCGAACTCGCGGGCCTTGGCCGCCCCGTCCACCTCCGCCTTGGCCTTCGCCGCGATCTGCTCCTTCGCGGCGCCACTTGCGAGCCCTGCCGCTGCGTGCCCCCCTTGGGCGCGAAGTACGGGGGGCGGGGGGGGGCGATACATTTTGTGGGGGGGGAGGGGGGGGGGAAAGAGAGGTGCCCTTTTCGGACCCGGAAGGCTCCCCCCTGGGCCCTCCAGGGGCCCTAACGGGCCCCCGTTTCAGCAGCCCTCGCTGCCCCCCCCTTCATTTTTTGTATCGCCCTCCAGTTCGCGTGATGCCCGGTCGGCGCCGGCGTGTCGGACCCCGCCCGCTGGGATTGAGCTGCAGGCGCCGTTCAGACTCTGGATCCCTACCCAATTTTGCAGAAGTCTGACCTGCAGGGAAGGAAGGATTCACACGCTGGGGACGCCAAGAGATGCTGACATCGTTGCTCCCCATGCCTCTCCCGGGTTGCTTTCGGACCAGACCTTGGAGGCGGATCCAACGGTGGCGACAAGGGCCCCTCCAGAGGCCCAAGGAAAATACGAAAAGAGGGGAGGGTAGCTCTGCTCTAGCACTGGAACAAGGAACAATTGCATGAACATTCACTTTCGGAGGTCTACGCGGATTTCTTGGATCGGCGGTGGCCCCCCTCCCTGTCGCGTGGAGCATTCCAGAGGCGGCGCCGGAGGCACCGCCAGTGCGGCCCGGCCCCGATCCGAGGAATCCGCGCGGACCTCCGAAAGTACATACGTGTCTATGCCTGTTTGACATCTTCGAGGGTAGCGGCATCGGTACCTGTTCCTCGGCCTAATAGATTGGGTGCGAGTAGATGGGGTCGGGGGATCGCACCGTATCACCGATGTATTGGCGATGCGTCGGCGACGTCGGCGATTCATCGGCGACGTCGGCGCGGAGAAAATGAGGAAGAGGAGAAGGAGAAGCAGGATGAGAAGGAGGGGGAGGAGGAGGAGGAGGAGGAGGAGGAGGAGGAGGAGGAGGAGGAGGAGGAGGAGGAGGAGGAGGAGGAGGAGGAGGAGGGGGAGGAGGAGGAGGAGGAGGAGCAGGATCCCCACCGAGCCGTATCGCCGATGCAGCGGCGAAGCGGCGGAATCCTCCGACTCCATCTGCTCCAGCCCCACCTATCGGGAGGCAAGAAGACACACGGGCACAGATAAACGTCAATTCCCTGGGAAATGTGGGAAACTGCGGGAAGTGAATGGGGAAGACGGAAATCCATAACATACGGAAAACATGGGGAATCCTGGGAGTTGTGCCCATGTATTCGTGTGTCCCTGGGCCACTTCAGTCTGGGAGGCCTAGGCTTAGGTCGGGAATGCCCTCATACAGGTGGATTGTGGACGAAATCCAATACAAAACAAATACACCCGAAATCATCAAAAATAGTAAAATGTCGTCCCCATATGATTATTTGTTGTGCAATTTTCGAAGATGCCTCCTGTAGAGGGACATGCCCGATTTAAGCCTAGGCGCGCGTGGCTGCCCGTCCTGCTCCCTCTGGATCATGCCGGCCAGCAGCGTCGCCGCGGCCGCCGCGGCGGTGCTGTTGCTGCTGACCGTGCTGCCCAGCCCGACGCCCTTGCTGGCGGAGCTGCCGCTCGCCTCTGCGAGGAGGAGGAGGAGGAGGAGGAGGAGGAGGAGGAGGAGGAGGAGGAGGAGAGGAGGAGGAGGAGGAGGAGGAGGGAGGAGGGAGGGACGAGAGGAGGGAGGGAGGGAGGGAGTGAGTGAGGGCGGGAGGGAGGGAAGAAGGGAGGGTGGGAGAAGTCGGAGGAGGAGGAGGAGGAGGAGGATGAGGAGGAGGAGGAGGAGGAGGAGGCTGAGGGAGGCGGAGGAGGAGGCTGCGGAGGAGGAGGAGGTGGAGGAGGAGGAGGGGAGAAGAAGGGAGGTGGGAGGGAGGGGAGGGAGGAGGAGGAGGCGAGGAGAGGAGGAGGAGGAGGAGGAGGATGAGGCCAAGAGGAGGAGGAGGAGGAGGAGGAGGAGGAGGAGGAGGCGGAGGCGCGGGTGGGGCGGGAGTGCACGCTGCGGGACGTGCCAGGCCTGCTGTAGTATCAATCCGACCTCTGCACGCTTGCTGAACAACACTCTGCTGCATTCGCCTTGGCCATCCTTGCCCAGGCAGCAGGGGGGGTGCTCGGCAGTGCGTGGCATTTTGGTGGCATAGCCTGCATAGCCTCGGCGTTCAAATCTGCGGCGGGCCAGGGTTGGATCAGCTGCGGCAGCGCAATGTCAGATCCGTCGCAGATCGTTGTTTGGTGTGGTTGGACACTTGCGACGAATACAGTTGTTGTTCGAGTCCGTCGCGCACAGTTGCATCGGCGTCTTGGTATTGTTTCGTTGAGCCTGGCCGCATTGCAACATGTTGCGATCGGTTGGTATTCTGAAGGGGCTCTGGGCGACACCATCCGTGGCCAGACCTTCTCCCCTACGGTGCCCTTCTGGCACGTGGGGGCTTGGTAGAATGCCGAGTGCTGCCTGGTAGGGCTTCTGCATTCTAATCAGGACACCCCCCGCCTCTACTTGTGGACTGCTGCGTGTATGCCCCCTGCTTCGTACTCCCGAAGCCACGCTCCCTCGCACACAAATCGTAAAA